ATTTAATAGATAATCCATAATTCCAAAGATAACGCCTTCCTCCATTGTATAACCTGTAGCCCTGAAGTGTGTGTGTTATGGTAAACAAAGTATGGTGTGGCAACCACCAAGAAAGGTTGTGTACCTTAGTGCTGCAGCGACGTGCATTGGCCTGGCGTATTTGGTGAAGTAAGATGTGTTTCACCTGGAATTAATTATATTAGCTTGCTACCAAACTCGCCTTTGGAAGATGCCCTGTTTTAGAAAACCATTGGCTAGGTTAGGGATTACTTTTAAAGGACGCACACTGTTGCATATTGTGTAGACGGACTCACCCAAACGAGTATTTATTAGCTGGTGATAAGTTATTATTGACAACAAAGGAATGTTTCATACAAACTCAGAGGTTCCTGCAATTAACACTAGACACTAGCTAGAACTTCACAGACCAATTGTTAATCTAATAGCCTATCAAAGCAGAGTCTGTTGTGCTGGAATAAAACTATGTAACAACTTTCCACTCGAAACGTTTATCTGCTAGCAGTAAAAAAAAAAGCACTGAAAGAATTTCTTCTGACTCGCACATCCTTCTCTTAGAGGAATTTATTCAATTCAATTCATTTATTTAAGTGCTTGACAACAGCCAAATAAGGTCAATAAAAGGGAAATATTTAATATAATAATTATGTTACTAACAATAATTAACTGACTGTAACCACATGTCTGATTATAAAGATTATGTAGAGGGTTGTCCTTAATGACATGCAATTTATACAAGGATTATGTTCTACTCCTGAAAGAAGTAGTTATATTTTCTCTATGTGATGTACTTTTCTCTAATTCAATTCTAGTGACAGAGACTAGCTCTATCTAAGGGACCCAACAGAGCAGGTACCTCTCACCTGAAGACGGAGACAGAACCAGCCTCCAAAACGTCATGCTTTTAAAGACAATGGAAAAAGTCCTGACAATGAATAATTTTAAGTGTAAACTCCCGTCGTCAAAACCCTTTAGAATTGAATTACACAACCGGTATGGACCCGGTATATACCCTTGTTTCAGAAAACTTGAAGGTCCAGTGACAGAGACTAGCTCTATCTAAGGGACCCAACAGAGTAGGTACCTCTCACCTGAAGACGGAGACAGAACCAGCCTCCAAAACGTCATGCTTTTAAAGACAATGGAAAAAGTCCTGACAATGAATAATTTTAAGTATTATTCTCTAACTCATCATATATAATGCTTTCTAGGATGTGTGAGACACATCTGTATCTCTGTAAATACTGGTATAATTTTGTTACATGCTAATGTTAGTTGGAAGCCAAAAGCAGTCTTAAACATGGAAATTAAAAAAAAAAAAATTTTCCCCAGGGATTATACTGGTGGGAAGAAATATGAAGGATCAAGTCATGTAGACAAGAAAGTAGTTATCATTACTGGATCAAATACAGGAATTGGAAAAGAAACAGCACTTGAATTAGCAAAAAGGGGTGCACATGTTATCATGGCATGTAGAGATGCAAGAAAATGTGAATTGGTAAGAAAAGTTATGTTAAAACATTTCTGTTAAATTTAACGTGAAGAAAAGAGTGCAGAAAGAAAATGCTATTGCATTGCACTGAATGGATATACATATCTGCCTTTCCAAAACAGCTATTTAATGTTGTTGTTGGTCCATGTAGAGCCAAGGAACAACAACAACAGCTGGTTAATAGAAGTTGTTTTGTGTCTAATAGTAAAGTATAATTTTATGCAATTTTAAGTTACATGGTAATGATTATTTAGAAGGGGTTTACAGCGTGTGCTAATCTTACACAAAATATTTATCTAAGGAGATCTTTTCCATAGGCTGCAGTGCCCGTTTTACACCACTGCCCTTTGAAGTGCCAGGGCAGTGCTGTGGCACATGTAAAGTAACGGGCACTGCCTTAGGCTGCCCAGACAGCCCTGATGAGCATATATTAAAATACTATTTATTTACTGATAATAGTTAACTAAGAGTGTGATTTGAGGTTCTCATAATGGTGAAGATATCATTGTGGGTCTTCTGAGTTATGATGCTATATAGCATTGTCGGTTCATAATAAAGTTTCAAAGGAGCATTTAAAATAGTGTGGTAATTTTGAAAGTAAGTACAGTTTATTTATTCAAACATGTTTGAATAGTGTTCATTCTCTTGAAATTGGATGCTGTACAAATATTATCTTTCTGCACTGTGATTGCTATTTTTAACAGATTTATTTCAACATTTATGCTTATCTTGTTGTATATATTAAAAAATGATACTCCTTGTTTATTGTTGTTTTGTAATTGATCTTTGCTTGTTCAACTAAAATACTTTTACTGTGAAATGGAACAAAATCAGAATGACCTTCTTACAATTCACAGTATACTTTTTTCCTCCTAGATGTTAAGTATATATTGTAGCATTGTAGATGCTACTTTGCTTTATCAATTTAACTTGTCTTTAACTTTCGTAGGCATAGTGACTTACCAGGCTGTTCTGACCATCCTTCTGTCCTCCCAGATCTGTTGCTTATGTAACCTTATATATAACTTCAAATATATGAGGTGAATGATTATGATAGTAGTTATTTCAGTCATGTACTTTTTGGCATATGCCAGATATGTTTATTTTCTGAGGGTCTTTCCATTCTTTTTGTGCCTGTGTGGAATCTCAATCTTAGACAGGAAACAGTTTGTTCCAGTTTTCTGAGAAAATGTCTCTCTGACATCTTCAATACTGAACCAAGTTTTACCTTTAAATAATTTTTTATTTTACAGGCACGGCAAGATATTGTTCTGCAAACTAAGAATAAATATGTGTACTGCAGAACTTGTGATTTGGCATCACAGAGCTCAATAAGACAATTTGTAGAGAGATTTAAATCAGGTAAACTGGTGATTCCTTATATGTATCCTGTTTCTTGATTTCAAAATTTGTAGCAGTAATAAAGTATTTTATCAGCAGCAGGTTGGTTGGTTAGGAAAGTTACAAGCTACAAGCTGTATCACCAGAATTTAATTCCCAGCCCACACAGGGATTTTTATCTTTGGCACCAAATCTGGACCTGCTGTGGGGACCATGTAACCTCTGTCCAGTGTGCTCTAGGAGCTTTATTTTGACGTAAATACGTCTATGAGGAAGGGTCATTCGGCAAAAAAGTGTTACGAAAAAGTGTAACTTCATTGTTATGTTACCTAGGAAACTTCATCTGTTTACTGGGCATTATTGTTACCTAGGTAACGTCATCTGTTTACTCGGCATTATTGTTACCTAGGAAACGTCATCTGTTTACTTAGCATTGTTTTTACATAGGAAACGTTACATTACATTAAAATACATTACTTTACATTACATTCATCTACCAGAGACTCATTTTAAGCGTAACTAATTCAAGTTGATTAAGCAATGTCTTAATCAAATTTATCTCAATTGTAAAGCATGTAAAAAAGAAATATTAAGAATAAAGCCAATATATAAACTTCCTTTCCGTAAAGACGTATTTACGTCAAATTCTCCGGAGAACCGTGGTTCCACTATCACTTTTTCCACAGGAAGGGAGACCAGAGCATGAAGAATCTAATGCCAATGTTAAGAATGTGTGATCCTCTACTGCCAGTCCTCCCCACACATCTTCATAGTTGTGGCACTTTAGCCTTCAAGTTATGTGTGGGTCGGTACAGGAATGCAAGCTGTAAGGGTTTATTTATGTGTGTACCACCTTGAGAATACACTATTTGTCAGTGTCACAAGCAGATCTGGATGGCTGGCATAGGGTCCAGTCAGATGCTGTAAACATTTCTGGGCACTGTACTTCCAAGGACAATCCTGTGTAGTGGCAGGATATGCAACAACATGAACATATTAACAGAACATGTTTATGTTATGATTGTTAAACCTAACTATGTATTCTCATCCTAATAAAACAAATTCCCTGATTTAGTTCTTGTTTCTTTGTATTTGTTTTGCATGTTTTTCTTCTCCTTTTAATCTAATTGACTTCATTTAATTGAATTATTATTACAAAGATACTTATATATTCAGTAACAAGTTTCCTTTGTGTATTAATTTTTTTCTACATTCATGTAATTTCTTTATAATCTGACTATTGTTATTTTGCTGTATTTATTATTGTGTTCTGTTGTTCTGCATCTGTAATTGGCCTTCTGGCTATTGTTGCAGCACACTAATAATAAAGAAATGAGTTAACACTGTTGGCACAGACCAGCTGATCCCGATGTTCAGTACGCATAGGAACTGCGAAAGCACGGCCTATTGATCCTGTTGGCTTGGAGAGTTTCCAGCAAGAGGTGTCAGAAAAAAAATTTTACCAGAAAGGAGAACATGTTTTTTTTATTATTATTATTTATTTTGGTGTTCTGTCTGACGACTGGACACACTGTGTGAGGTTTGTAAGTATTATATCAGACAAGTTATTTTTACAACTTGTGTGATTTGTTGCAGAACATCAGCGGCTTGATATCTTGATAAATAATGCAGGTGTTATGAGATGCCCACACACCAAAACAAAAGAAGGCATTGAGATGCAGCTTGGTGTAAATCATATGGGTCATTTCTTATTAACAAACCTATTATTGGACAAATTAAAGGTAAGCATGCATGATGTTTGTAATTGAAGGTTTGCTGATGCTAGTATCTTTTGATCTAAGGTCTGTATTTTACATAGCCTGTAGAATCCCCTACATAATTTTGTAGTTTATTATAACTTGCTGTAATGCAGCCAATTGTAGCATGGAATTTAGTAAGATGCATAGTTGTCTTGGTGCCCAGAACTTTGCTGCTTGACACTTGAAAGGGCCTACTTGTAACACTCTCAGCACATGGATCTTCCTGGCCAAATTATAGTGGGATGCCAGTATATTTAGCCTCCTTCCCACAAAGAAATTTATACTGAATTTACTTATATGATTGCATTTCTCTTTCTCTAGAATATAATGGTCATATAACAATGAAGATAAACATGAGAATGATATCTGGAACAATGTTTGTTGTGTTTCTGACACACAATAAGTAGACTTCCTTGCCAACATGTTTGTTCTCATACAAAGGCAGGCAATCAGGATTGGAAGGGAGCTTGCAACATTCACAGAACAAAGTTACACTGATATTAGTTACTCTGGTAGCCATAAATCTCCAGTTTTTAGCACAGAATCAGATACTTTATTGGCTCACAACAAGAGAAGTGAAGTAGAAAGGAAACAGCTTGTCAAAGTAAAGGAGAAACAGTTACTAGTACAGAAAGATAATATTTCATTTCCTTCTTATAAATTAGATGAGTCAGCTACATGAGTAAATATGTTAATTCTGAGATATGTTTTGTATTCTTAAAGTGGTATGAACTGCATGTGGTACATCTAGAGGTG